GTGATCCACCCGCCTCAGCCTCCTAAAGTGCTGGGATTACAGGTATGAGCCACTGCGCCTGGCCTCAAAAAGAACATTTTCTTAGGACACTTTAGACAGTACTGAGCAAGGCTGAATACAGTGGCACATGCCTATAACCCCAGCACTTTGGGAAGCCAAGACTGGAGGATTGCTTGAGGCCAGGAGTCTGTGACCAGCCTGGGCAACATAGCGAGACCCCATGCCTGCAAAGATTTTTTTTTGTTTAATTAGCTGCTTACCTCTGGTACCAAGCAAAATAAGAGAAGCCTGTAGGCTTTAGGGATACACAGACCTGGGCTTGTATTTTGTTTAAGGTACTTGTTTAGTGAGTTTGGATAAATTATTTAACTTCTCTCGGGCTGTTTTTGCCTTGAAAAATGAGAAGAGTAAAGTAATCTTTTCAGACCGTTGTAGGGATTAAAAAGCAACAGGTTTAAGGTTTCTGTTATGCAAGATGAATAAGTGCTAAAGATCTGCTGTACAAGATTGTGCTTATAGTCAATAATACTGTAATGTGTATGCACTTTAAAATCTAGTAAGAAGCCAGGTGTGGTGGCTCACGCCTGTAATCCCAACACTCTGGGAGACCAAGATGGGAGGACTGCTTGAGCCCAGGAGTTTCAAACCAGCCTGGGCAACATAGTGAGACCCCCATTTACAAAAAATTAAAAATAAAAAAATTAGCCAGGCATGCTGGTGTGTGCCTGTAGTCCCAGCTACTGGGGAGGTTGAGGTGGGAGCATCACTTCGGCCTGGGAGATCAAGGCTCCAGTGGGCCATAATCACACCACTATGCTCCAGACTGGGCAGCAAGTGAGACACTGTCTTAAAAAATAAATTAATTAAAATAATAAATAAGGCCAGGCACAGTGGCTCACATGTGTAATCCCAATATTTTGGGAGGCTGAGGTCAGCAGATCATTTGAGGTTAGAAATTCGAGACCAACCTGGTCAACATGGCAAAACCCCATCTCCACTAAAAATACAAAAATTAGCTGGGCTTAGTGGTGTGTGCTTGTGATTCAGCTACTTGGGAGGCTGAGGCAGCAGAATCGCTTGAAGCTGGGAGGCAGAGGTTGCAATGAGTCGAGATCCCACCACTGCACTGCAGCCTGAGCTACAGAGTGAGATTCTGTCTCAATAATAGTAATAATAATAATAATAATAATAACAATAACAATAATTAAATAATATATATTAAGAGGGTAAAATTTTTAAATAATATGTGTAAAACAGATGTCTAATATACCAGGGGACTTTATTAAACAGTAGTTATTATTGTTAAAAATGGAAAAACTGGATGTAAAAATCACTTTTTGTTTGTTCGTTTCACTTATCTTTCAATGAGAGCATGCCAAGTTTAGCAAATAATTCCGATTTTGCAAGGATTTTTTGCTGTGACCTGAGACCAGAGAATTGCCGCTTGTTCCAGATTTTGCAAGTGGCCGGTTTGGCTGTAGATCAGATGGAACCACCCTTCCCAAAATACAGTTTCCCTTCTCCTGGCTTCTAGGGAGAGCTTCCTCCTGGAACTTGGCCCTTTAGGACGCTGAACCCGGTGAAGTGTGGATTTGCAGCTCAGCACTCCTGAACATTTGTTAACCTGAATTGGTCAAGTTCAGATAAAGGAGTAGTTTATTTTTTCCTTAGTGAGTTTAGGGTTTGCGTGGTTGATTTTTTACATTTTTTGGATTTTTCCCTTAGTATTTTATGAGGAAAATTTTCTTTATTTCCTTTAATTTTTAATTTCTGTGAGCACGTAGTAGGTACATATATTTATGGGTTACATGAGATATTTTGATGCAGACACACAACGTGTAATAATCACATCAGCCTAAAAGGGGCGTCCATCTCCTCAAGCATTTATCCTTTATGTTACAATCAAATTATACTCTTTTAGGTTTTTTTAAATGTACAATTATTGACTATAGTCACCCTGTTGTGCTAGTAAATACTAGATCTTATTAATTCCTTCTGACTATATTTTATATCCATTAACCATCCCTTCCTTCCCCCAACTCCCCCCACCCTTCCCGGTCTCTGGTAACCATCCTTCTACTCTCTCTCTCCATGAGTTTAATTGTTTTGATTTTTAGATCCCACAAATAGGTGAGAACACGCGAAGTTTGTCTTTCTGTGCCTGGCATGTTTCACTTAACATAATGACCTCTAGTTCCATCCATGTTATTGCAAATGACTGGATCTCATTCTTTTTTACGGCTGAATAGTACTCCATCGTGTATATACACCACATTTTCTTTATCCATTTGTCGGTAAATGGGCACTGAGGTTGCTTCGAAATCTTGGTTATTGTGTTGCAGTAAACATGGGAGTGCAGCTATCTCTTTGATATACTGATTTCCTTTCATATACTCAGCAGTGGGATTGCTGGATCGTATAGTGGGTCTATTTTCAGTTTTTTGAGGAACTTCCAAACTGTTCTCCATAGTGGCTATACTAATTCACATTTCCACCAACAGTGTACAAGCGTTCCCTTTTTTCCACATCCTCACCAGCATTTGTTATTACCTGACTTTTGGATAAAAGCCTTTTTTTTTGGTGGGGGAGGGGGGGACATAGTCTCGCTCTGTCACCCAGGCTGGAGTGTAGTGGTGCGATATCGGCTCACTGCAACCTGCACCTCCTGGGTTCAAGTGATTCCCCTGCCACAGCCTCCCTAGTAGCTGGGACTACAGGCATGCACCACCACACCCAGCAAATTTTTTAATTTTATTTTTTGTAGAGGTGAGGTCTCACCACATTGCCCAAGCTGGTCTCAAATGCCTGGGCTCAAGCAATCCTCCTGCCTCAGCCTCCCAATGTGCTGGGATGACAGGTGTGAGCCACTGCACCTGGCTTTTTTTTTGCTTTTTAGCCAGGTTTTCTTCTCTCTTTAACTGTCACATATTTTGTTTTTGAAGGAGTGTGAACAACCGTGTGCTCCCATATAATTCCTGGAAGAAATCTCTGTTTTTAGAAGAAACAACTAAAACTGTATCTCTCCTTCCTATCACTGTACTTTGAGTTTTTATGAAAATCTATGGTAAGGAGAAACTGTGTCTGAATACTTCTGCAACCAGACTAATAAAAGGTCCTGAGCCATGTGCAGTGGCTCACACCTATAATTCTAGCACTTTGGGAGGCCAAGGTGGGAGGACTGCTCGAACCCAGGAGTTGGAGACCAGCCTGAGCAACATAGAGAGACCCTGTCTCTATAAAGTATTAATAATTTTTAAAATTAGCTGGATGTGGTGGTGCGTGCCTGTAGTTCCAGCTGCTCTGGAGGCTGAGGCAGAAGGATCGCTTGAGCACAGGAGGTAGAGACTGCATTGAGCCATGATCACGCCACTGCATGCCAGCCTGGGTGACAGTGAGACCTGTCTCAAAAAAAAAAAAAAAATGTCCTGGAGGACATTATGTTAAGTGAAATAAAGCAGGCACA